GCCATTTAGACGACCAACCAGCCGACCCTACCGACCACCAACACACAACCACACAAATGATGATGACTACGACGTTGACGATGATGAGAATGATTAATAAGTTGTGTAGGTCCACATCAAACAAGAATGGAGAGCAAAAAAGGATTACTTCGTGTAAAACAAAGCTTTTTGATGATTTGATGTTTTTCTTACGACTTACACACAGATGTATGTGTGTGTGTGTGTGAGTAAGTCTCTTACGCCTGAATGTTAACGATGACGATAAGACGTCCTAGGTAGACCCTTACCGTCAGGGTAATTTCACTCAAAAACATTAATAAAACCGCAATTTACCTAAAATGTCCAAGCGTTTGGACAGGCAGTCAGTCGGCTGACTGGCTGAATGATTTGCAAGAGGACTCTGTGAGAGAGAAAAAAAACAAACAAAGGGACTTGGGGACCAAAAACAAAACTCACACAAACAACGCTAGACCATTGATAAAGGTATTCTAAGATTGCAAGGTATTCAACAACGTGGATAATTTTATCCACTTTTTTATCCATCAACGTGGATAATTTTATTCATCCACGTGGATAATTTTATTCATCCACGTGGATAATTTTATCCACCAAAGTGGATAATTTTATCCATCAACGTGGACAATTTTATCCAAAAATGTAGATAATTTTATCCATCAGCGAGGATAATTTTATCCACCAACGTGGATAATTTTATCCACTTTTTTATCCATCGACGTGGATAATTTTATGCACCAACGTAAATAATTTTAACCAAATATGAAGCTAATTTTTTCCAAAAATATAGATAATTTTATCCATCAACGTGCATAATTTTATCCACCAACGTGGATAATTTTATCCGAAAATGTAAATATTTTTATCCAAAAATGTAGATAATTTTATCCAAAAATGTAGATAATTTTATCCAAAAATGTAGATAATTTTATCCAAAAATGTAGATAATTTTATCCATCAGCGAGGATAATTTTATCCACCAACGTGGATAATTTTATCCACTTTTTTATCCATCGACGTGGATAATTTTATCCACCAACGTAAATAATTTTAACCAAAAATGTAGATAATTTTACCCATCAACGAGGGTAATTTTATCCACAAACGCGGATGATTTTATCCAACAACCTGGATAATTTTATCCAAAAATGTAGATAATTTTATCCATCAACGTGGATAATTTTATCCACCAACGTGGATAATTTTATCCAAAAATGTAGATAATTTTACCCATCAACGAGGGTAATTTTATCCACAAATGCGGATGATTTTATCCAACAACCTGGATAATTTTATTCAAAAACGTAGATAATTTTATCAACTTTTTTATCCACAAACCCGAATAATTTTATCCACCAACGTGGATAATTTTATCCACCAACGTGGATAATTTTAACCACCAACGTGGATAATTTTATCCATAAACCTGGATAATTTTATCCACCAACGTAGATTTTATCCATCAACGTGGATAATTTTATCCCAAAATGTAGATGATTTTATCCAAAAATGTAGATAATTTTATCCAAAAATGTAGATAATTTTATTCAAAAATGTAGATAATTTTATCCACCAACGTAGATAATTTTATCAACTTTTTTATCCACCAACGTGGATAATTTTATCCATAAACCTGGATAATTTTATCCACCAACGTGGATAATTTTATCCATCAACGTGGTTAATTTTATACACCAAAGTGGATAGTTTTATCCATCAACGTGGATAATTTTATCCACCAACGTGGACCGTTTTATCCACCAACGTGAATAATTTTATCCCAAAATGTAGATGATTTTAGCCAAAAATGTAGATAATTTTATCCAAAAATGTAGATAATTTTATCCAAAAATGTAGATAATTTCATCCATCAAAGTGGATAATTTTATCCACCAACGTGGATAATTTTATCCACCAACGTAGATAATTTTATCAACTTTTTTATCCACCAACGTGGATAATTTTATCCATAAACCTGGATAATTTTATCCACCAAAGTGGATAAGTTTATCCTCCAACGTGGATCCACCTTTGTAGATAATAAGAGTTTTTCTGTTCTCTCCCTATACACCCTAACATATTGAAAATCTCCTAAATAATTTCCTCGAAATATCCATGTCCATTTTGCAAATATTTCACATACCGACATATATACACACATACACACACGCGTATGCATATATGTACATTTGTTCTAGCCAGGCATTACATACGATTTACTGACCCGCTGTGGGTCTAAGAGGTTAACCAAACCAAACGAAGGTATTATTACACCCATGCCCTCTCACACACTTGCACATGTAAAAACCCCCAACTTCTTTCTTTTCTTCCCCCCTCGATAAATAAATCCTAAATAAATAAACAATAAAAAGCTATAAACAATTTGATTTAAGCATAATTTATTGTTAATGATTTATTCTGCTTAACCTGAAATATGGTGGCGGCGCAATCACTTTCCCTTTTTTGCATGCTATTCGGGTTTTTCATTTCATTTTCAGGAAAATTTATGCCATGTCTCCGGTTTAATAATGCTGTCGTCTCCATCTCCGACATTGTTGTTGTTGCTATTGTATTTGATGGCATTTTAAATACAAAGAGTACAAGAATTTTGTTTACAAGTTCAGCAGCTCATATTTGGGTGACTCTTCTTCTCTGGACGTTGATGTTGACGCCGGCATTGGCATCGGCATCGGCGCCGCCATCGTCAACCTCATCGTAACAATAACGACTAATAACAATAATAATAACAACAATTACTCATACACACACAAGCATCATTGCTGGGGGTTTTCTCTTTCAATTTGATTTGATTTCATCACCTCAAAAGCACACGAACCCGCACAAACACAGCCACTCACGCATCCTGTGGCAAGTGTCACCAGTATTTTTTTACTCTCAATAGTGGCGAAGGCAGTGGCAGCTGAAGCTGCCGCAGCAACCGTCACAGCATCCTTTGCCCTGGTCCACTGAAAATGTGTGTCATTTAACCGTTCATAGGTGTTGTGAGAATACTTCTCAGAGAGAGATTGAGTGACTAAGAGAGATAAACTGTTTGCCGTTATTAACTACCGGAGACAGTAATGGTGAGTGAGAAATGTATGTGGCAAAGAGAAAACTAGTCTTTATCTCTCAGAGTGCAGGGTGGCTAAGTTGGCTGAAATTACAAAAGAAGAATTTCTTATCCAGAAATGATAACGTCGTGGCAAAAAAATAGATAAAATTATTCATGTTGGGGGATAAAATTATTCCCGCTGGTGGATAAAATTATTCCCGTTGGTGCATAAAATTATCCAGGTTGGTGAATAAAATCATCCACATTGGTAGATAAAACTATCCGCGTTCGTGGATAAAATTGTTCACGTTTGTCGATAAAATTATCCACGCTGATGGATAATATTATCCACGTTGGTGGATAAAATTATTCATGTTGGTGGATAAAATTGTCAACGTTTGTGAATAAAAAGATCCTCATAGAAGGATAAAATTGTCCACGGCGGTGGATAAAATTATCCACATTGGTGGATAAAATTATCCAGAGTGGTGGATAAAATTACACACGTTGGAGGATAAAATTTTCCACATTGATGGATAAAATTATCTACATTAGCGGATAAGATTATCCACGATTGCGGATAAAATTATTCACAGTGATGGATAAAATTATCCACGTTGGCGGATACAATTATCCAGGATGGTGGCTAAAAAAATGGATAAAATTATCCACGTGGGTGGATAAAATTATTCACGGTGGTGGATAAAATTATCCACGCTGGTGGATAAAATTATCCACGCTGGTGGATAAAATTATCCACGGTGGTGGATAAAATAATCCACATAGGTGGATAAAATTATTCACAGTGGTGGATAAAATTATCCACAGTGGTGGATAAAATTATCCACAGTTATTTAAAATCATCCATATTGGCGGATAAATTTATCCACAGTGGGGGATAAAATTATCCACAGTGATGGATAAAATTATCCACATTGGTGGATAAAATATCCACGTTGGTGGATAGAATTGTCCACATTGGTGGATAAAATTATCCACGTTGGTGGATAAAATTATCCACATTGGTGGATAAAATTATCCACGTTGGCGGATAAAATTATCCATTTTGGTGGATAAAATTATCCACACTGTTGGATAAAACTATTCACAGTGGTGGATAAAATTATCCACATTGTTGGATAAAATTATCCACATTGGTGGATAAAATTATCCACCTTGGTGGATAAAATTTTCCAGATTGGTGGATAAAATTATCCACATTGGTGGATAAAATTATCCACAGCGGTGGATAAAATTATCCGCATTGGTGGATAAAATTATCCACATTGGTGGATAAAATTATCCACATTGGTGGATAATATTATACACAGTGGCGGATAAAATTATCCACATTGGTGGATAAAATTATCCACAGTGGTGGATAAAATTATCCACAGTGGTGGATAAAATTATCCACAGTGGTGGATAAAATTATCCACAGTGGTGGATAAAATTATCCACATTTGTGGATAAAATTATTCACATTTGTGGATAAAATTATCCACTTTGGTGGATAAAATTATCCACGTTGGTGAATACAATTATCCACATTGGTGGATATAATTATGCTCATTGGTGGATAAAATTATCCACATTGGTGGATAAAATTATCCGCATTGGTGGATAAAATTATCCACAGCTGTGGATAAAATTATCCTCATTGGTGGATAAAATTATCCACATTAGTAGATAAAATTACGCACATTGGTGGATAAAATTATCCATTTTGGCGGATAAAATAGTTTTTAACGTTTTCAGTTTACCTCTCCCCCCAAAACAACTTGTGGCTCTGAGCTCAAATATGGTCCTGCTCACATAATTTCTCTCTCTCCCACTATTTCTTTCTCTCTCATAGTCTCTCGCCGTCATCATCTCCTCGAATCCTATCACACATCTCTGCGATATAAATACTTGTTTGCTACATCCCAAACAATTCAGTTGCTCTCGACTTTTAAGCGTGTCAACATGTGGCGGTATTTTGCGACCAGTAACGTTTAACGGGAAATTCTAACTAGAAATACACTCTGAGTGATATACTGCGCTATCTATCTGCGTGCGTGCGAGTGTGTGTAAGAGCTGTGCCGTGCATTCCTTTGCTAGAAAAATATGTGTGTGTTGTTGTAGTTGTTTTTTATTACTTTGCTAATGTGAAATATACCTGGTTCTCATCTCAAGCCAGGCTAGTGATGAAGAAGAAGCTGTTGTTGAAAAAGTAATTCCAAAGCGAAGCAAGTGATGGAAAACACAAAACAAACAACGGCAACCGTTACAAAAAAAAAGTAAATCACACGATAGAATGAAAGGATAACATTTTATGTACCAACACAACGACAGTGACGAATGCCGTGTAGTGTGGGAGTAAAACCCAGTAATAGAATGTCAAAATTGTTGTAAAATTTACACGAGAATAGCAACAAAGTAAATAACGACAACAGCAACAACAACTACTACCATTACTAAAATAAAAGAAGTAAGCAAATGTTGTGGAATTGTATATCGATATAAGTGTGTGTGACATAGGTCGGTCGGTGTGTCTTCGGCGTGAGTCTGAGATTCCTAGACAAGTTAAGTCTAACAAGACCATTGTTGTTGTTGTTACTGCTGCTGCTGTTTTTTATTAATACTCTTCACCGATTGTTTGGTATTGTTGTTGTTCTGTGGGTGGGTGGCTGTTGGGGTGAGTGTTTGTGTTTGAAAAGAAAAAAACATTTCTTTTTTACTTTGGAAATCATTTGAAACACAAAAAAACCAAAGCATACTTTTGGGAATACCAAGAGAATACCCAGTGCGTCTCATTGACAACACAACAAAAAAAGGAAAACAAAGTTTGTCTAGAATTGTCTAATGGCTCTATGAAGAGGTGAGCAAATGTCTGTGAATGTGAGTTGGAGTCAGGGATGGAGAATCAAATAAATGAATGCAAAAAACATTCTTTAGAAAATCCATGTTTAAATACCTTTGAGGTTCCTAGAAAAATTATTTAAAAACAAGTAAGCAAAGGCTACAGTCGAGCGGCGCCGACCGTTGAATACCCTACAACACTATAATAAACGATACAGTTAATATAGGCGAGATACTCGAAAGAATTCCACAAGATATTGTGACAAATTATAAAAAAAACCATCAGGTTTCGTTCTCTAATTTTCGAATAATAGCAACTTAAACTAGTTTGCTTATTTCCAATTTATTGGTAGATGTTGCACTTAAATGGTCTTCCTAGATCTGGAACCAATATTTCCCAAAGACCTATAATTTCTTAGAAGTGGCAAAAGATTAACATTTATTATTGGTTTTTGACTGAAACGCATCTATATGAGATGCAGACATTTGACTATATTCTTCAACGAAATCAGCGTTAACGAAATAGTCGGAAGTGCGTACAGGAAGTATTTGTGAATTCTCCAAAAAGTCACTGTAATGGACATTTTCGTATTTTGTCTACAAAAGTTGGCAAACTATTTCACACATTGAATATTTTTGGATGGCCATCCGAAACTTCTTGGCTTTCAAATGTGCGTGAGGATCGGGCGATAATTACGACCTGCCGACAATTTTGCAATTTTTTGGTCCATTTCAACCCCTAAATATATGGCGATCATCTCCAAAAACAATAGGCTTTTATTCTGACCCTCATCCTCATGCAAAATTTCGTAAGGATCGGGCCATAAATGCGATCTGTATATGATATCCTGATATCCTAACTACTTAGTTTTGTTAGCTGTAGAAATATTACCAAATGTTTAATTCAAAATGAAAATATGCCAAAAATGTAACAAAATTGAAAAAATATGAGAAAATTTTACAAAATCAATATTTTCATCTTTAGAGAGATATTTTTATGCGATTTTTTAGACGTTTTTTCTTTCCTGCCAAGAGGCCATTCTGAATTAATGAGAACTGTCGAAATCAGTCCAGCCGTTCTCGACATAAAAGAGATCTTTCAAGCATATCTTCTTTGATATACATATATATCGCACATATTTTGCTATATATCCGATTTGTTGGATGTTAACATCAATGTAAAGATCAGAAGTAACCTTGTGATGGCTTTGTGATTTCGCCGGGATTTAAAATATTCACGGTTTAATGAAAAATTTTAATTTTTTCAACACAAAAGATATGGTCTATTTTACCCGCTAAATATTATCCGATGACCACCTAAATTGGTAGGCTTCTTCCCCGTCCTAAACTCTAGCTACATGCGAAATTCCGCGTCGATTGGTCTATAATTGCGACATGTATAGCTACTGCAAAATCCGACATTTTTTCAGTATTTGGTCCATTTCAACCCCTAAACATTTGGCGATCATCTCAAAAAGGAATAGGGTTCTATTCTGGCCCGACCCCGACCTCCATTCCAAATTTCGTGAAGATCGGGCCATAATTGCGACCTGTAGAGTGATTACAAATTAACATGGACAGACGGACAGACGGACGGACGGACGGACGGACATACATAGCTAGATCGACTCAGCTCGGCGAGCTAGGATGATCCATATATACTTTCCTATGTGGGAAATCAATATTTTGTGGTGTTACATAATTTTTGGCCCAATCAAACTTATAATACCCCCAACACATAGTGTTGTAGGGTATAAACACGTTGTAAGGCTGTCAATGATATCCAAAATTCATTAAAACCTCCACGTTGTAAGACCTTCAATGATATCTAAACTTGTTTAGAAAACGTTTTAAGGTCTTTAGGATACCTCCAAAAATTCTTTACAAATCCACGTTTTAAGGTCTTTAGGATACCTCCAAAAATTCTTTAAAAATCCACGTTTTAAGGTCTTTAGGATACCTCCAAAAATTCTTTAAAAATCCACGTTTTAAGGTCTTTAGGATACCTCCAAAAATTCTTTAAAAATCCACGTTTAAGGTCTTTAGGATACCTCCAAAAATTCTTAAAAATCCACGTTTTAAGGTCTTTAGGATACCTCCAAAAATTCTTTAAAAATCCACGTTTTAAGGTCTTTAGGATACCTCCAAAAATTCTTTAAAAATCCACGTTTTAAGGTCTTTAGGATACCTCCAAAAATTCTTTAAAAATCCACGTTTTAAGGTCTTTAGGATACCTCCAAAAATTCTTTAAAAATCCACGTTTTAAGGTCTTTAGGATACCTCCAAAAATTCTTTAAAAATCCACGTTTTAAGGTCTTTAGGATACCTCCAAAAATTCTTTAAAAATCCACGTTTTAAGGTCTTTAGGATACCTCCAAAAATTCTTTAAAAATCCACGTTTTAAGGTCTTTAGGATACCTCCAGAAATTCTTTAAAAAATCCACGTTTTAAGGTCTTTAGGATACCTCCAGAAATTCTTTAAAAAATCCACGTTGTAAGGCCTTTAAATAGTCTCCAAAAATTCTTAAAAAATCCACGTTGTATTGACTTTAAATAGTCTCCAAAAATTCTTTAAAAAATCCACGTTGTATTGACTTTAAATAGCCTCCAAAAATTCTTTAAAAAATCCACGTTGTATTGACTTTAAATAGTCTCCAAAAATTCTTTAAAAAATCCACGTTGTATTGACTTTAAATAGTCTCCAAAAATTCTTTAAAAAATCCACGTTGTATTGACTTTAAATAGTCTCCAAAAATTCTTTAAAAAATCCACGTTGTATTGACTTTAAATAGTCTCCAAAAATTCTTTAAAAAATCCACGTTGTATTGACTTTAAATAGTCTCCAAAAATTCTTTAAAAAATCCACGTTGTATTGACTTTAAATAGTCTCCAAAAATTCTTTAAAAAATCCACGTTGTATTGACTTTAAATAGTCTCCAAAAATTCTTTAAAAAATCCACGTTGTATTGACTTTAAATAGTCTCCAAAAATTCTTTAAAAAATCCACGTTGTATTGACTTTAAATAGTCTCCAAAAATTCTTTAAAAAATCCACGTTGTATTGACTTTAAATAGTCTCCAAAAATTCTTTAAAAAATCCACGTTGTATTGACTTTAAATAGTCTCCAAAAATTCTTTAAAAAATCCACGTTGTATTGACTTTAAATAGTCTCCAAAAATTCTTTAAAAAATCCACGTTGTATTGACTTTAAATAGTCTCCAAAAATTCTTTAAAAAATCCACGTTGTATTGACTTTAAATAGTCTCCAAAAATTCCTTAAAAAATCCACGTTGTATTGACTTTAAATAGTCTCCAAAAATTCTTTAAAAAATCCACGTTGTATTGACTTTAAATAGTCTCCAAAAATTCTTTAAAAAATCCACGTTGTATTGACTTTAAATAGTCTCCAAAAATTCTTTAAAAAATCCACGTTGTATTGACTTTAAATAGTCTCCAAAAATTCTTTAAAAAATCCACGTTGTATTGACTTTAAATAGTCTCCAAAAATTCTTTAAAAAATCCACGTTGTATTGACTTTAAATAGTCTCCAAAAATTCTTTAAAAAATCCACGTTGTATTGACTTTAAATAGTCTCCAAAAATTCTTTAAAAAATCCACGTTGTATTGACTTTAAATAGTCTCCAAAAATTCTTTAAAAAATCTACGTTTGAAGGACTTTAAATAGTCTCCAAAAATTCTTTAAAAAATCCACGTTTGAAGGACTTTCAATAGTCCCAAAAATTCTTTAAAAAATCCACGTTTGAAGTACTTTCAATAGTCTCCAAAAATTCTTTAAAAAATCCACGTTTGAAGGACTTTAAATAGTCTCCAAAAATTCTTTAAAAAATCCATGTTGTAAGGACTTCAAATAGTCTCCAAAAATTCTTTAAAAAATCCATGTTGTAGGTTCTTTAAATAGTCTCCAAAAATTCTTTAAAAAATCCAAGTTTTGTAATCTTTAAATAGTCTCCAAAAATTCTTTAAAAAAATCCACGTTGTAAGGCTTTTATATAGTCTCCAAAAATTCTTTAAAAAATCCACGTTTTGTAATCTTCAAATAGTCTCCAAAAATTCTTTTAAAAAATCCACGTTATATTGACTTTAAATAGTCTCCAAAAATTCTTTGAAAAAATTAGGTCTTTAAATAGTCTCCAAAAATTCTTTGAAAAATTTACGTCTTTAAATAGTCTCCAAAAATTCTTTAAAAATTCCACGTTGTAAGGCTTTTCCATAGTCTCATAAGGAACCTCCTAAAGTTCTTTAAAAAATCCTTCAAAAAATCTCCATAAATTCTTTAAAAAAATACACGTTAATGAAATGAATTCAGTCTCAATAAATAAATAAATAAGTCTCCAAAAATTCTTTAAAAAATCTATGTTAGATGGCTTGTAAAGAGTCTCCAAAAATTCTTCGTTGTAGGCCTACGTTGAAGGCCTTTAAAGAGCCTCCAAAAATTCTTCAAAAAATCTCCATAAATGCTTTAAAAAATCCACGTTAGAAGGCCTTTAAGAAGTCTCCAAAAACTCTTTAAAAGTTCACGATTTATAGTATTCACAAATTCTTTAAAAAATCCACGTTTTAAAGTCTCCACAAATTCTTTAAAAAATTGTAAGGGCTTTAAAAAATCTC